GTGCTCTGGGATCATTACGTAAAAAAGTGGAAGTCAGCAAGAAATAACGCAGTGGTGAGACTTGCCTTGCAGCAAGCCTTTAGGAGCTCAGCCATACTTCATATAGAGAGGTATCTGCCACCATCTGTGAGTCTGGAAAGCAAAACCCCCTTCAGCCATCCTCTCCTCTGAACCTTTGGGAGAGCTTCCCTACTGCTGCTAACTGTATTATCAGCTAAGCAATCACTGTATTGCATATAGATATCCTGGCTGAAAAAGTATCTGGAGTAAAAGACTGGTTTTTAGTGGGGCTGTGATCACATTCTTCACTTTTGAAATATGTTTGTAAGCATTTTGAAAATAATGCAGAGGCCTGAGGAACTCTATTTATTATAAGTGCCTAAAAACTACAGAGTGCCTTGGAGAATCCCAGGCTGTGAAATCACCTTCTTTATTTGTTTTACATTGCTGTGGTTGGAAATGCCACTAGAGAAGTAGCTCTGTAGAGCCAGAGAGCAAAGAGAAACGTAGAGAAGACAGCACAAGATGCTATTGGGCACCTTGCAATCTGTGATTGCAGTAGCTGCTGCCAGTGTGCAAACTGCTTTCTATGAAGCAATCCTTCAGAACTTCTCATCACACTTGTAGAGTGGGGTCACAGACAGGGCTTTCACTAAACACATTCAGATGCTGGGACTGACTTGGCTGAACTGATACTGCAGTTGCCCAGGAAGGACTCCTGCCTCTTCACACCCATTATAGCACTGCATTGCCTGGCACAGGCATATAGGGCAATGTGGCTTTGAGTATGTTAGACATAACTTGAGCATTCCTAAGGAACTCTCTAAGCAGCTGCTGGGAAAACAATTCCACAGAAATCTGCTACCGCAGCCATTGCAGACTAATGTACAACCTGGATGAAGTGAATCTTCTCTTTTGGGGTGTTATTGCTCCCCAGATACATAGTAGCTTCCTGTGTATTTAAATTGTGGGGTGCTGCCAAAATACTGCATTTCCTATTCCTCTATCTACAGTACTTTTATAAGTCCCAATTGTAAAATAGCTGGACACTTTTCAGTTTGGTTGTACTTATCACCACTAGACAGAAAATATTAATATTTCTATTTTAAAGGATAAATACTAAGGCCAAGAGACCCAGCAGTCATCTGAACTGCAGCAACAGTGCTGCCATAGTTGCAATAATCTAAGAATATCAAGTAAAAGTCTGCAGAGAGACCCATTGTGAGACTAGCACAGAGTGGGATTAAAACATGCTTAGGGTGGGACATCAAGGCATCCACAGCTAATGATTCACATTTGTATAATTACAAGCAGACATGATCTGTGTCATTCACGGTATTTCATCTAGTGCATCCCAGCTATGCCAGCTATGAGACTGGCCCACTCCTTGCAAGGAAAGAGACAACTCACACATAACAAAACTACAGACTTCACTAGTGCAGCACTAGTCCAGCACACGTCTCTCTGTTATGCAATCCAGCAGCACTTTGTCCTTAGCTGTGTAATAAGGGAGGAATAACCAAAATTCTTTTTCCAACATGTCAAAACTCAGGAAAAGCCTTCTGTATCACTTCACAGAAATGATGCAGACAACCTCTCTGACTTGAGTTTTAGGTGCTTTAGGAACATAGTCTGCACCGAGATTGAGATGAGGCATTTTACACATTGTTGCCTGCATTGAGCAGGGAAGAATCCTGCCACTTGCACAGAAACAGGTTTTTCAGACTTTTTTTTAAATAATGCCTCAAATTATATTGTGAGAACTCTTTGGGGGCCAAAGGGCTGGAAAGATCATCTAACAAATACCCCAATGAAAGTCTAGCTGCCTGAAACGCAATTCTGTATGTGATTCTCATCACTCCTAATGATGGAACTGGGATTTACCTGATTTGAATTCCCCTCCAAGCCAGTGAACACCAGGCCAGGAATCATCCATGAAGTGTGGTTACTTCCAGCACAGCTGAGATGCTCACTAAGAACCCCCTCATAGTAAATGAAGATCTTGTGAACAGGCAAGACAATATGAACATCACATCCTAAAAAACATGCCTACACTAGGCCAGAATACACTAGAGATACCTAAAATCAAAGGAAAGAAATCCCTCACCAAAAGTCATTCCCATGCAATGGCTATCTACCTGTGTAAACCAAACTGGTCTCAGTCTACTTAGTTTTGGTTTTCATGGTAAAGAATAGATATCCATATTGAATCACAATTTTCAAGTTACATCCTTACTTAGCTATTTCAGCATGGAGGTAAAAAGATAACAGGGCAGAGGACTGTATGAGCAGTCCTGCTCACAAAATCCAATCCTGTGCGGCAATACGCAACTGCATTCTACACACCCTTTCATAAACGGGGCAAGCTCTGCCATGAAGTCAATAAAACACTCCTTCCTGCAGACCCTCAGAAAGGCTGTTCAGAATCCTCTGATGGTTACAAACTTCCTTTAAAGTCCAGACCTTGATCTCAGAGTGACTTTATTCTCCTGTGTACACAATGCCAGCTTAAACTGGTTTTCCCTGTTTTTGCAATAATCTGCATCTTCTGCAGCCCTTCCCATGCTGAAAAGTTCACCTTTTCTTATCAGAGGTGGTCATGCATTTGATACCAGCTGTATCTCTGCTTAAAGTCTTCTCAAATCTGGTTAACTTAATGGATACTGAATCACATTCCTCATAGGGAATAGAGAAACTCCCATCCTGCAGTCCAGGACTGCTGACACTAGGAACAAAAATTGGCACTTACTACCAGCACTAAAAACCACAGAGGTTTAATTTCAAAAGAAAGGATCGATTGCACCCATGCATATACACACAGTGTAAGGAATGTGTGCTTGAAGACAAAACAGCATTAAGACAGATATTATTGTTTATCAGTTGAAATCTAGCTGCTTACCCTGCGCCAGTGATCAACCTCAGCACTCCCATCAGATGTTCTTAGTGACTAATCTATGTGACACATTAAACTACATCTGTGAATACGCCTCTCTGATCAATACAATTGATAATGGCTTCTAAACAGAGGTTTATTTCCAGACTGTACCAAAAGGGTGCATTTCCTTATTTGCACTCATTTAATTAGAAAGGAAAACATATAATTTGTTAAACCTCGAGTGATTTTCTATTTGCCGAAAGGATGTGGAATGTGTAGAAAGCAGCACACCTACCTGGCCATAAATCAAGGTATTACATTACAAATGGCAGGGAATCTCAACTGCTTTCCATTCTCCTTCCCTGGGGGGACTGAACTGTACTAAAATTACATTCTTCCTCTGAGATAGCGTATTTTCTTTTCAGCAACACTCAGATTAAACTGTCATCACCTTCATACGATTGTGCATCATCAACTTAGATTTCTCCCCAACAAACTTCCCTTTCATCCCTAACCGTCAAAATTCAAAGTTTTATTTCGCAGCTATGCTCAGCTGCATTTATTAAGTTATGAAGCCCCACTCTAGAAAAGCATCTTTTTCCACACACTTGTACTCATATGCTCTATCTTGAACACTCCAAGGGGGAAACACATCTTCAGGCACTCTGAAGTTACCAGCCCACACCATTTTCAAAACAGACTTCTCCATAATATGATTCACCAATGGTCACCCACCTGAGAGCCAACACTTTAGAGATGCTGGTTTCCTTCTGTTGATTGCAGTGGCAACCATGAGTGTCTAGGTAAGAGTCGGGTATTGAGCTCTTAAATACCTGCTGACACTTTGGAGCAAATGGATGCCAGCTGCTTTCCACACAGTTTTCATTGTAAAATTTGTTTGGACACCTGCTGTGCCAATATCAGTTCCACACTGATGTCATCAGCAACCATTTCTACCCAGGACATGCAGACACACACAAAGGACATCTGACGAACTTGGGAGTAGCAGGTATTGTCCCCATGGACAAAAAACCACTCTATAGTGCTCACAACGGCAATTTCTGAATCCATCCCATTTAAATGACTATGGGTAGTGACCAGTGGAAATGCAGAATTATCCTAGTCCAATATTTCAGCATTCCATTATGAAAAACAAACTCCAAAGGATTTTTATGTATTTGCTAGTGCTTGAGCGTTAAAGGCTTGCAACATAACTGTGGTTTTACATCAGAATAGGGAAAAATACTTTCAGTGGCTTAATTCAGCAGAAAAAAAAGAAAAAAAAAAAAAGAAAGCTGTTGTGGATTAAACTTTCCAATGAGAAAAATAATTTGAAAAGCAGAAAAAATTATTAACACTTCAAGCATTTATTTTATTTTCAATGTATGGTACTTAATTGGATTTCTTTAAATATCCACAAAACCAAAATGAAACATTTAGAATGTTTTTAACTACCCTGTCTTCTTCCCTTAATGGATTCCCAGAGAACATTTCTTTAAGCAGCTCCATTTAACTGCACAGGGATAATTTAAATAGTTTCTGAATCAAAGAAAACCATGTATAAGTAGATAAAAGCAGGGGCCAAAAGCCATCCTTGCATTCTGTGAAGATCCTCTAGATATCAGCTGCCTGGCCCAATTTCATTGACACCTTGCAGCCTTGGAGCATACCCTTCCTCCTCTGTCTCATCACCAGGACAGAAACAATTTTGGCATGGGAATCAGAGGGCAGTTCAAGGGAAGGAGAAGGTGGCCGTAACTTCCCTTGAATCAATCCAAAGCCTATGACAACATTAGGCTTTCACTCTCCAGGGAAAAGTTCATTAAGGCACTTCCAGTTCAGAGATAGATGATTGACTATGATGAAGCACACTGAGACACCTCAGCTAGGCGTACCAAGCAGGAAGGCAGCGAGTGAATACCAGCAAGCTATTCAAATTGTTGGTTGATTGAACTGTTCTTTGGAAGTACTTACTTATATTCCTCCTAATGCAAGAGCTCAGCATCAGCTGGAATGACTTCCCAGCTACAGCAGCAGAAGGGGTGAGAAGTGGCATGGATAGGGCAAATGCGAGGATGGGTGGTGCTGGCTTGCAGGCCAGGGAGAGAAGAGAGAATCCCCATACCTGAAGTCTGGTTATCCCCAGTCAGCTCTGCCAAGCACTGGCTGCGCTCCTCTTCAATCTCCTGCATGATGCTGCACTCTGGACGTGTGCTGGACACCTGCAGAAAGGGCAGAGAAGAAGAGAGTGAACAAAACCCAGTTACCTTCAGATATGTGTTCTGGGAATTCATGGCCGTTTGAGCTCTCCTAGGCCACTGCACAATGGGAATAAACATCCAGCCTTATTTTATGTTTGCTTGAGAGAAGGGAGAGTAGCCCAGAGCCTGCTGAAAAACAGCATTTCCCCCCAAGCCTTCCTTTAAAAAATCAAAACAACCTATTTTTCTCTGATGATCATGAGTAATTTTGCTTCTCTATGCTCCAGGAACCCTGCCTGGCTAACCTAACACGAACAGCTATCTGGGGCAGGAAATGGCAGTTTTAATATTTATGTCAAGAGCAGTGGGATCTATGCTTACATGGTTTATTCCCTCTGTTCTCACGTGGCCTGACTCCTGGCTCATGCTAATTCAAAGCAAAACAAAAATAACAAATCAAATAGGAATGAAATCTCAGATGCAGATTAGGAGATCAAGGAGGTAAAAAGCAGGAAATTCCCAGTAATAAGACTTTCACCCCTGAGTGGGTTCTCCTCGGTCAGACCTAATTATATGGTGTTTGCAATACAACAGTGGCTATAAATGTTCAGGTAATTAAACGTGGACTTCATCAACATGTAATCCATGAAGTGCCTTAATCATAAAATTCGCAAAGGAACCAGGAGTTCACACCTAACACAGTATCCCCTTGTCATCAACACACATTCAACTCAGAGGGAACACCTTGCTTTATAGCTATGACAACTGCAAGCAAAAATTGAGGTCCTATTATGGACCATGCTGCACAAACCCCTGTATCTTTCAAAGAGACTGGAAATGGCATTCACCAGGGAGAAACCTATTCAGAAACAAAGCTCCAAAGAAATGGCAAGAGGAGAATGATGTGAAGAGAACAGAAGTCTTGGCTTGAGTTTACACCATCATTATTAAATGTGATGTAGGAAAAAACACGAACTGGGTGAACTTCAGGGGCATGGGATGAGCCTTTGCCTGTAAGACAGTATTGATTCAGTGTTTGCTCTTGCTGGATTTTGGGAAAAAATATAGTTTCATCAGAAAGAGGAAGAGAAAATAGAATAACATAAAAAAAAAAAACAACTTTTCATGCCTCATTTCAAATCATGTGAGCTACTTCTCTATCCATAAATTTGCCAGACAAGTTTGTAAGACAGAAGGCCCAGAAATCCTCTGAAGGAACAATTCAACATTTTTATGTAAACTGCCCTTTGGATTAAAATTATAAAATAATTCAGCATGTTACATTTATTCTCACCATTTCTTACTAACCCAACCTGCTCTTTTCCCTGTTTCACCCCATGTTTTGTTCAGACTGTAATCTCCTTTAGGCTGGGAATGGGCCTTGATTAGTAGTGTATAAACAATTAATTATGTGTTTTTCTAGTCAAATTAAAAATTAAAAAAAGAAAAATGAAACCCAACCAACCAAACACAATGGGTGGGGGTGAAGGGGAAGTTATCTTGGTATTCAAATGTTTCTTTTTCCCAAAAGGAACCATCTTAGGGAATTTTATCTTGGCTAATCTGAAGTACCACAGATTCATTTCGTTTTGATTTACGGTGCTTCTTGCCTTTTTTACTTTAACCTTTAAAAATATGAGGGGAAGCATGAGAGATTTGCAGAACACTTGCTGTAAAGGTTTTCAAAACATTCTGACTTTTTCAAAGGAAAGATTTAACTCTCTGGACTTAAACTGTTGCCAAATTCACTTCACATTTACAAAGAACTCCAGTTTTCACTTCGAAAATTAATTCATGCAGGTCCGACTTTGATCAGGGTTGGCAAAGCGCTGTGTACTTGGACAGCATATTTTCAATTTTTTTGGTGCATTAGATTTTCTACTTACCCCATTAGCAAGTACTTCACTGCTGCATCTTCCCCTCACTACAAACTCATGCCTCAATTAGTTGATTGCATATTTACCTCAACAGCCCAACGTTTACTTCTAAGTGTTTCATCACCTTTCGGTAAAAAAAACCAGGTGGATTCTTCATTAGTATTCCGAAAGGTGGGCTTGTAATAGATTCAGGTACACTTAAAGTGGAATTAAAAAGCTCATATTTTTTTTCTACCAGTCCAAGAGAACAGACATCTGTGTTACACAAACCACTGGAGAAAGAGTGTCCAAAAGCTAAAACATCAAAATACAGATGATTATGGTTTTTGTAGTAATGGTGCTGAATTGCTGTGAGCTTTTAAACAAGGAGAATTAAGCAATGGCTCCATTGACTAAAGGAGCGTTTAGGTGCCTGATCCCCACTGATTTCAAGCAAACCCAGACACTGAGGGGAGATTTAGTTCCCCAAATAGAGGTAACTAACCTCAGCTGAGATGTCCTAAGGTATCCCTCTGGGCCAATAGCTTTCACTCTAGGGGGCATAGGCCAGTGTAAATCGGATGTCCTTCAACCCTCCAAAAGCAACCTCATATACATTAAACTGACTAAAACAATACTAGATTGTTACAAGCAAACAAGCAGTGAGTTTGCAGATGATACCAAGTTAGGCAGGTGTGTTGATCTGCTTGAGGTTAGGAAGGCTGGACAGAGGGTTGTGGACAGGTTGGATCTATGGGCCTGTGGTACAAGGTTCACCAAGGCAAAGTGTTGGATCCTTACCTGTGCCACAACAACCCCATGCAATGCTTCAGGCTTGAGGAAGAGTGGCTGGAAAGCTGCTCATCAGAAAAGGACTTGAGGGTGCTGATTGATGGAGCTGAACATGAGCAGCTTGTGACCAGGCAGGCAAGAAGGCCAGTGGTATCCTAGCCCATACCAGCGGTAGTGTGTCCAGCAGGAGAAGGGAAGTGACTGTCCCCTGTATGCAGCACTCGTGAGGCTGCATCTCAAATCCTGCGCAAAGTTCTGGGCCCCTCACTACAAGAGAGCCATTGAGGTGCTGGAGTGGACTCAGAGAAGGGCAACAAAGCTGGTGAAGCACAAGTGTGATGAGGAACAGCTGAGGGACCTGGGGGTGTTTAGCCTGGAGAAGAGAAGGCTCAGGGGGGGACCTTATCACTCTCTACAACTGCCTGAAAGGAGGCTGTAGTGAGGTGGAGGTCACCCTCTTCTCCCAGTTAACAAGCTATAGGATAAGAGGTAAGGGCCTCAAGCTGCTCCCGGGGAGGAAAAATTCCTTCACCAGAAAGGCTGTAAATGTGGCACTTAGGCACATAGTTTAGTGGTGAACTTTGCAGTGTTAGGTTAATGGTTGCACTCAATGACCTTTAAGGTCCTTTCCAACCTAAATGATTCTATAAACAAACAAACAAAAGAGGCATATATCCACCTTCTCTCCCAATAGGACACATCTTCCTTCATTTTAGCTGGGTAAAAGATAGATGGTTTAGTCTGAACTTTTATTATTCATTCTAGTCCAACAGAGAGCTAGCAAGCATCAGCTCTGAAGGCTTTCATCCCACTTCACTGATTGTACTTGGACCAGTTCAAAATAAAACACCTACTGTTTAGCTGAAGAAGGTTAGTGATGTGTGAATTTAATGTCTAAAGACCTTTAACAGAATCATCAAGGTCAACAGACTCACATTAGAGGCCTTCTAGTTTATGGCTCATTTTCCACATTAACTAAACAAGTAAATAAATAACCCAAACAGTCACAACATCACTCCTCCTACCTCCCTAGTGATAACGCTAATAACCCTCACACATCACAGCTGTCATTGCTATGGGTTAACAAAGGCCACTGGAATAAAAATAAAAAAAAAAAAAAATCACAGTTTTGGGCATCATTCGGAAACAGAAAAATGTGTCATTTTTTTGTTGTCAGGTCATCAGTTCACTTGGCATGATGCTGTGCAGAGCAACAAGTTCAGCTGCCTTAAGACCCCTGTAGTCTTGCCTGCTAAGGGTGATCTTCACTGGGACAAGAGACTAATAACTCTCCTTCCTTGGTGTATTTCTCCTAGAAAAACTTCAAGTATACTTGACAGAGAGCTTGGTACAAACTTACTTTTTTTTTTCTTCCCCAGCTCTCTTTTTTTTTTTTCCTCCTGTGTTGTTTTGGGGGTTTTTGTTTGCTTTTTTCCTGTGGAAAAAGCAGAGATCTGGAGCTTTGGCAACTTTCCCTGTAGCAGTCACCTGGCTATGCAGACACAGGGTTGAGGGTACACTAAGTTCACACTCCCTATCCAAAAAGTGTAGATAAAAGAAAAACATGACCAGCTTTGGTTAACTCACATGAACATGAGCTAGAGTGAACAGCAATGCAGTTTCCTGGGCATATCCACTGTGGGTGAAGGTGAAACTTGGTAAATCCACCTTCTCTAAACCCTCCTGGCATGCTCAAGATGCATGTATAAACTATGGTGGGCTTGTCAGGGGTTGTTTTTCCTGCGTAGACTCTGAGGCCCTGAGCAGAAAGATGAAGGGAATGTTTTTCTGGATGTGATTTCCTGCAAGTCTGAATTCTACAGCAACTCTCAAGTGGAATTATCCCCAAAGTCTTTATTAATGAGAGTTTTCCTTCCCTCTGGATCCCAGCGATTGTTAGAGGATTACCATACAGTCTGCTACTGCAAAAAAAGCTAGTATGAACACTCCTTAATTAAGTACAATTCAAAGGATTGTTACACACTGAAGGAGCCACAGAAATGTTTAGTCTCGTCTATGCCACTAGCAAAGCCAGGCTAACAATAGGCCAACTCCTTTGCTCACACAGCAACAACCCAAAGACAGGTGGGATTCACAGAGAAACCACATCTGCAAGTAGGTAGGAATATGGGCCCACAAGAAGTGCCATAGTACTTCCCCTTCTCCTGAGTCCAGACTGTTTCTGGACTAAACTGAAGCTCACCATATGGAGACTCCAGCAGAGGTGGCAACTAGGGTGACCACTATTGTAATAGGATTTGGAGTCAAACAAGGAAGGAACAGAATTGAAAAGCCTACGGATGATGAAATCACAGTCCTCACCCATTTCTGATCAGCTTCCAAAGCCTACACAGCAGTGACACATGGGATCGC